AAACACAGGGTATTGCTTCTTTGTTAAATTGCTAGAAAGCTTTATATATATATGTGTGTGTGTATATATATATATATGTATAGAGAGAGAGAGAGAGAGAGAGAGTGGATATTTACCTCCAGAACGAGCAGCTTCTTGTTGACTGTGTCTCTGAACATGACGGCGGGTTCTGCTGTCTCCTTGTTCGGGATGTTGTATCTCCTGATGTCCACCTCCATCTGACGCAACTCCAGAAACAGCAGCAGCTGGAACTTCTGGGTGTAGATCTCCCAGCTGAGCGGCGTCTCCAGCAGCGTCTGTCTGATCAGAGACGAGTTCGAATGTACGGCAGCGTTCACACTGAGGGACAGAGGCTGGTTTGGTTTATATATCGTGAAGGCTAAACTCAACGTTATACATGTTTACAGAAACCGACAGAGGCTGCTGTCCACACACCGTCTGAAAGGTTTCAGATGAAAAAGACAAAACAGGGCAGCAGGTCTGACGTAGCTGACGTAGCTCGTAAAGCTAACAATGAGTAGCTAACGTTGTGTATTTACCCTTGACTGGAGTGACCAGACTTTAGTGACTCGATGAGTTGGTTCACATATAGTGGAATACTATACTTCTTTAAATTAACCACATTCTTCAGCTGCAACACCGACAGCCTGGTGAGAGGAGACAAAAAGCAGAGAGGGAGTTGGTTTTGTTCCAGGACGTCAGTGTGAGTCAGAGACACTGAGACACTGAGACACAGGACAAAGAAGGAAACAGCTCAAACAAGTCTCTGGAACGACTTTAACAGTTTGAAGACTTTCAGACAAAAGATACAGACTTGGGTTGCAAAGACCTTTAGACAATATGAGGAATCAAACATGTGACGTCTGTTTCACTGCAGATTTATACAAACAGTTTTACCCGTCAGGTCGCTGCCCGTCCACGATGGTGCAGTCAACCTCAGGCGTCCATGCACAGCGGGGCAGAGGTTTGTAGGGTGCGATGGGCGCTAGCTCCACACCTAAGGACGTGATGCACTGAGCCTCGATGAAGCGCACGATGTAGAACTCAGCGGAGGTCGGCTCCAGGTCAGGTTTGAACTCAAAGGCCAGTGTCGCCGGATAGAAACCAACCCAGCTGCAGCGGAAGTGAACGCTGATGCTGTAGCTTTCCCCTGAGAACACGACAGACAACACGACAGACAACACGACAGACGGTCACACCGTGTGCTCACTGTGGTTTATAACAGACTCACTGTGATGCGTTACCTGGTCTGAGGGTCAGAGGGTTTGTTCTGGTCACTTTGTGCTCGTCCGTCAGAGCCAAGTATCGGAGCCACTGCAGCGGAGTGTAGTAGGTGAAATACACCGGTTCCCCTCCGGTGTTTTTCACACTCAGGTTTACCATGTACTGTTTACAAAGAGAAATAATGAAGTATTTGTACAACAGTTTGATGTGGTTCAGCAGCGTCATAATAAATACCTCCTTTCTGTCCTCCATACGAAAGCAGAGTTTCCCGTCGTCAAACTGGTGGTCGGCGGTGATGCTGACGCCCTGTTTGTCAGAGATGAACATTGACCTTTGGAGAGAAAAGGGCAAAGGTCGTGATTCTTAAAGACAAGAGGCCTCCACCAACAGTCTCCTCATGAAGCCATGTTTCAATTCACTGGATCCAGGTTTTCATTTGGATCAAATCAGAGGATCAGAGAATCAGGAGCATGTCCGTGTTGATGACAGAGCAGGATGTACACCATGTCCACAATAATAAAGAAACATAACCGCTGAGATCAAGTTTCTATGCTAACGTTGGGATTTGACGTCTGAGCCTCCTATCGATGACTTTCTCCTTCACTTTCTCTCTTCGGTTCTTCTCGGTTCCAACAACAAACAGGAACAAACTCCTGAACCTTCTCTGATGATGTCACAGTGTTTGCTGTGGACACTTTGAGCCTCTGGAACGATGATCATCAGAACGACTTGTGTTACCTCTCGGTCTTCAGTTTGTTCATCAGACAAGTCGCCATTTTCCTCCGCGCTCGGACTCCTGTCTCGGCTTCATCTGGGGAGGTGGAGGTGTGCGGGGTCCCGGGACCGGTCGCTCCGTCCTGGGCAGCCTGGGACTGACGAGTCCTGGATGAGGACCACTGATCCACGTAAAGAGCTCGAACCTGAACGCAGCAACACCTCACGTTTTAGATTTTCATTTACAGTTTCAGAAGAAAAAGAAAATGATGAAGAAGAAAAAAAAGAGGAATGTGAAGAAGAACATGAAGAAGATGATGAAGAACAGACCTTGGGTTTGAATTTGATCGTTCCACTTCGTACGGTTATTTTCCCGTAGGATTTCAGAGCGTAAAGAATCGAACCGAAGCTCGGGTCTTTGCATCCTTGGTCCCTGAAACAAACAGAGAGTGAAACTGATGAAGATGAGGAAGATGATGAACAAAGTGAAACAGAAGAAGATGAGGAAGATGAGGAAGATGA